AGTTATATTATAACTATACCACGTCAAAAGTTCTCTCATTCATTTCATTCCATAGTAGAGTGAAATGACTAACTTTCATTTGACCTTTAAAGAGGCAGAATTAGTTGACACAAATGTTATGCCTTTTTGCATGGCTGATTGTATATATTTATGTTGAACATGTTAAATTCAAGGCGATCTTGTAGCGAACGCACAACCCTATACTGTGTTTGGTTTTTCTACGATATCTAGTTAAGAAAAAACTTTATTATCGGAGGGGTGAAACGAGGGAGAAAATAATATGTATTAGATACACATTAAGGGCGTTAGCCCGAATGAGTGCGTATTACTTACACCAAGATAAATTGAATATTGTCAATGCAGAATGACAAATTCAATAATTTAGGACAGGGACTTTCAATACTAACGGATTCCCTGTTAAGGAGGAGATCTTTTAACAATTTGACAATATGCTATTGAAATGCATGATAAATGCAGGGTATCAAATTTATTTATCGACATCTTTGTGTAAAAAAAGATACAATTTTGCTAGATAAATAGAAAACAATAACACATTTCCTTGCATAATCTTATCTAAAATTATTGAAAATTATCATAATTTATGGGTATTGTTTTAACATGATACACCAAAGCCGAATTTTGCATGTTTGCATTACACACTTGCACTGTTTGGATTAACGTATCAATTAGAAGGTAGGTTAGAAAATCACAAAAACAGAATTAAAGGACAAAACGCCATTATATGGTTTTCCGGATAATGTTTTTTTTTTGGCAAATATTAAAAAAAAAATATTAAACTTTTACATATACATAACATTTTAGGTAAACACCTAGAGTTACATATATACCAGCATACATTTTTGATAGGAAAAAAATGCTATCAAAGATACTTCAGAAATGCCTAGCTCCATGCCTAAGAAATATACATCTTTTTTATTGTTCATATTTATTTAACCTCCATTCAACAATGGGAAGGAACATTTGCCTCAGCTGTGAAATGAATTGATTTAAAACGACTTTTAACATATTTACTTCTGACTTGTCAATATCTTAGCATAGAATATGATCAGAATATGGTCTGTGTATAAAACAAGTATACCGCTGTAATAAAAGCACTAGACAATTTATACATGTAAATATATGCTACTTCCAACAGAATTTTGTTTTGTTTTTAGTTTTTAATTATTTTTTTGTCATTATCGTTTATTTTTTAACCACTAAATTTGCGGTTTTGTGATATGTTCGTGCAGTTTTAACAATGTCGTCAATAGTGTTCAGAAAGAAGCTACTAGTATTATAAAATGTGTCAGAACCTTAAATTACACATACATGAACGGAGCTATGATACCATGACAGGTGTACATATGATGTAATTGTGAAATAGCCATTGTAATTGCCAAGTTTTTGATAGTTTAAGGATCATTTTTGATTAGTGGCACGTGCCATCGAATTCAATCTTTATTGACAGAAAATATTAAATAACGAATACATTTATTACTATTATAGGAAGAAAAAGGCGAAGAAGAATTATTTGCTATAGTGCAACTTGAATAAACAAATAAATACATAATTATTTTATATTAAATAAAATTGTTATTAAAATGAAAGAAAGGATTAACGCATTTACAAGGATATATACTAGATGCTGAACTTAAATTAGGTTGTATTGTTTTAACGAAAACTTCTATGAGGATCTGGAGGGGGTCCTTTTTTTAGCTCACCTGACCTGAAAGGTCAAGTGAGCTTTTCTCATCACTTTGCGTCCGTCGTCCGTCGTCCTGCGTCCGTCGTCCGTCGTCCGTCGTCCGTAAACTTTTACAAAAATCTTCTCCTCTGAAACTACCGGGCCAAATTTGACCAAACTTGGCCACAATCATCATTGGGGTATCTAGTTTAAAAAATGTGTCCGATGACCCCGCCAACCAACCAAGATGGCCGCCATGGCTAAAAATAGAACATAGGGGGTAAAATGTAGATTTTGGCTTATATCTCTGAAACCAAAGCATTAAGAGCAAATCTGACATGGGGTAAAATTGTTTATCAGGTCAAGATCTATCTGCCCTGAAATTTTCAGATGAATCAGACAACCCATTGTTGGGTTGCTGCCCCTGAATTGGTAATTTTCAGGAAATTTTGCCGTTTTTGGTTATTATCTTGAATATTATTATAGATAGAGATAAACTGTAAACAGCAATAATGTTCAGCAAAGTATGATCTACAAATAAGTCAACTTGACCAAAATGGTCAGTTGACCCCTTAAGGAGTTATTGCCCTTTATAGTCAATTTTTAACCATTTTTCGTAAATTTTTGTAATCTTTTGCAAAAATCTTCTCTGAAGAAACTACTAAGACAAATTTAACCAAAATTGTCCACAATCATCATTAGGGTATCTAGTTTAAAAAATGTGTCCGATGACCCTGCCCGCAAACCAAGATGGCCGACATGGCAAAAAAATAATACATAGGGTAAAATGCAGTTTTTGGCTCATATCTCTGAAACCAAAGCATTTAGAGCAAATCTGATGGTATAAAATTGTTCATTAGGTCAAGATCTATCTGCCCTGAAATTTTCAGACCAATCAGGCAACATGTTGTTGGGTTGCTGCCCCTGAATTGGTAATTTTAAGAAAATTTTGCAGCTTTTGGTTATTATCTTGAATATTATTATAGATAGAGATAAACTGTAAACAGCAATAATGTACAGCAAAGTTAGATCTACAAATAAGTCAACATGACCAAAATTGTCAATTGACCCCTTAAGGAGTTATTGCCCTTTATAGTCAATTTTTTACAATTTTCATAAATTTTGTAAATTTTTGTAAATTTTTACAAAATATTTTCCACTGTAACTACTGGGCCAAGTTCATTATAGATAGAGATAATAGTAAGGAGCAAGAATGTTCAGTAAAGTAAGATCTACAAACACATCACCATCACCAAAACACAATTTTGTCATGAATCCATCTGTGTCCATTGTTTAATATGCACATAGACCAAGGTGAGCGACACAGGCTCTTTAGAGCCTCTAGTTCTTTATTCTTTAATTTTTTATGCCGATTTTCTCTATTCTTTAAACTTTTTGTCTATTATTATCAATTCTTTATATTCAAGCACCTTATTATTCTCTATTCTTTATTTTTTTTTATCCATTTTCTCTATTCTTTATATTTATTGCCACTCATTCTCTATTCTGTAACCTCCTCCCCGCCCCCTCCCATCAACATCTTCTTCTTTCCGATGGTATGTTATTTATAGTTTTATTGTCTCGTCACGGTCTAAGTGCAGTTTTCAGAATATTAACTGCACTCGGAGACATGGTTCCCTGATGCGGCCTTGGTGACTACGCATCACTACGAAATAAAAGCAAAAAAAAAAAAAAGAAGACGGTTGTCCAAATATAAAAAGAATAACACGCACGGGGAATGATTACTAAATGCCACGAAGTAATTATTAAGTTTTAGAGGAAAGTATCGAAAGATAACGAAATTAACGATATAAATTATCTGACATAAAACATATTTGTATTTACGTTTATCGTTCCCGATGAAGTTAAATCCAGAAACGTGCTTCAGACGCATGAAATTTATAAGGTGTTTTCTCTCTTTTGATAATGTTATGTTTAAAATTTGCAATTACTTCTTTTCAAAGAATAAGTAGATAAATACATAAATTAACATCAGAAAATAAAAAATAAAATAAAATCATAAACAGTTATAGGCGAATAAGTTATTTCCTCAACAAAACAAAATCACTAATCTCTTAAAAAAAGACCAACAGAAATAAAACGTCAACCAATGATTTTATGTTTAATTATTAAAAATATACGTTTTTCATTCTAGCATTTATATTGTAATTTTTTTATAATTAAAATGTATCATCCACATGAAGGGGCGTAACTCCTAATATCATTCTGACACACTAAACGGATCTTAACCCGATCTGAAAATTTTGAACATTACTTTTTATGTTTGGTCTGAATTCGTCTAAAACCGTCTTAACATATCTTGTTTAACAGCTAGAGCCTTCTGTCTTGTTTATCTTGACATGAATGAACGGACTGAACACGACATATCTGAACAGCGTCTGAAAGTCTTAAAAAGTCTTAACGTTTTTCCCTAGCGGTAAATTCAGTTGATTCAGACTTGATCAGACCAAAATGACCGTTTCAGACTGAAATCTTGCTACTAGTGTATTAGACCAAAAGGAAAGAAATATAAATTCACGTCACAGTACTGTGACAAATGGAGAACGAAAATCATAAACAATTGAAGACAGTGCTTTATTGAGTGACCAACAACTACTAAAAATGGACTAATGAGGATAGAAACTTACAAAAATCATATTTCTGTTTTATGGGATTTAATGTAATTTTATCGCATAGTATTCATATTTTATGAAAAAGACGCAAATGTTCAAAATTTGCAAGGGTTCGCGGAACCCAGTGTCTCGCCTACTTTTGCTGTTAATCGCAGGCTCAACAAAACCGAGGAAAAAAATTAATAAAAATATTCCTCTCAATACTATCTTTTGATTGTAAGAAGCTTCTGTCCAAGTTTGGTTAAAATCCAGAATAGTTTATGAATCTAATAAAAGTTTTAAAAACTTTAACTCTAGACTGTATGTAATGTTATCTGGAAGAAAAACTAAGTCCATTTATAAGTAAAATACGAAAAAACCTGAAAAATCTTTACAAAATTTACTTCTGGATACTATCTTATGATCATAAACAAGCTTCTGTCCAAGTTTGGTAGAAAACCAGGTTAGTTTATGAAAGATATTAAAATTTCAAAAACTTCAACCACAGAGTGAATATTTGTGGACGCCGCCGCCGACGACGATGACGACAACGACGACGACGACGACGACGCCGACGACGGAATATAGGATCGCTATATCTCGCTTTTTCGACAAAAGTCGAAGGCTTGACAAAAATGAAACAGATGAATTCAGGCAATAGTCAAATTATCAAATTGAAATCAACCTTGAGATTAACCTTTGGAAAAGTACCAAAACCGCATCTACGATTTGTTTATACAATATATAACAGGAAAATATGAATATTGTGAATTACACGTTCAAACAAATACAGTTTTAGCGTCGTTGTTATACTGTTCTAGTGATAAACTGGAATTTTATTGAATGTAAGTGAACATTTAAACAATTTTTAAACGTTAAATAAGATATAGTTATAAACAAGATTATCGATATCAACTTAAAAGTGTATTTACAAATCATATGCGCAATAAAAACAGTCACTTTAATGTACGTCAATTACTTCGAACAATATTTGTTGTCATTTAGATTTATTACTTAACACTAGTAGCAAGATTTAAGTCTGAAACGGTCATTTTGGTCTGATCAAGTCTTAATCGCCTTGATTTACTGCTAGGGAAAAACGTTAAGACCGGTTTAGACTTTCAGACTCTGTTCCGATATATCGTGTTCAGTCAGATCAGTCGGGTCAAGATAAACAAGACAGATTCTTCTAGCGTTCAAATAAGACTTGATTAGATCACGTTCAGATAAAATAAGACCAAAGGTAAAAAATCTGTTTAGTTGCTGTAAGATCGTGTTCAGTCGTGTTAAGATTTTAAATATTTTAAATAAAACGAGCGACACTTTATCTGTGTTTATCAGGGGTTACTCCCCTTTATGAATAAAATCGGCATAGCTAGGAGGATATTCTTTTGTGGTCTTTTAATGTAATACTGTATATCTATTTCATTAAATAACGTATGCAAACGTACAATTCATTTTTTCCCGATAGAATTTTTAACATTTAATTGGTTATATAAGAAAAGATTAATTGTCTTAACCGGGAAATGTGTTAGTCATTAAAACTTTGCAGTCGTGCTTTCTGACATAAAGTAGTCCTGTATTTATTCATTCCGCCCGATAAGATATAATGATAAGTAATATATCCCAAAGATGTTCTGAAATTTTCTTAAACATTTTTTGTTTCTAATGTAAAATAATAGTTCTGATCCATATAAAATTTGTCAAGAAAAATATATTCTAAGTATCTAATTTACTTTAAATTTTTAAGTATTATATAGATGACAGTTGCTTGGTGAAAGTTATTTACATTTCAATAAACGGATTATCTAAGCAGTCAACCGAAACGGGTTGTCATAAACTATTTAAATAATTACCCATGCAACGCTTATGATGTTTTATCTATGGACGTAAAATGAATAAAGTTCCATGTTTTATCTTATATAAGGATTTACCGGGTAAAATTATTACATTGACAAATAAAACATTATTTTTTCAAAAACAAATGCAACAAGAATAAAGAATATTTTAAGAATTTAGTTGACAGTTTATATTTACCATTAGGTACCTATAAAGACCGATTTCGATACCTCTCTTGATTTTTTTTTATCATCAAGTTTTTTTTTAGCAAGAACTAATACAAGAATAAATCATATAGAAAAATATCAAACAACGATTGATAAAATCTTGTGTACGGTTTATATTTCTGTTTCGTATCAGATTTTTTTTATAACACCAGCGTTACTTCTCATTTAAAAAACAGTGAGATGCTTACTTGCTTTTTCGAAATTGACCAAAAAGCTATAGAATAACGTAGCGAAATGACTGTACTTATAGATTATACCTTTGTTTTTCCATTTTGAGTTGTTTTACACTAGTCATTTTGGGGACCCTTATAGCTTGCTGTTCGGTGTGAGCCAAAGCTCCGTGTTGAGGCCGTATTTTTAATCTATAATTGTTTTATACTTTGTAACTTGGATGGAGATGATTATTTGGCACACATACCACATCTTCTTATTTATATTAACCGGGAGCAGTTTATAATATTTTCATTTCGATAAAAAGAAATATGCAATTCAGTAAATCAAATCGATTTGTACCATATTGTTACATTCAAAAGTCTTTAACTGAAGTAAATGATTGATAGAAATACATTATTTGTATTGCATCGCTCCTAAAATAATGTCCAGTGTCAAATATTACACATCGATGATCACTTAGATGTTCAACTGATTCAACCAAAAATTAAACTTAGGACTAGGATCAAATGCAATTCATTACGTTACAATTGTATTCAATATTAATATTGTTATAACATTCAGTCGAGGAAAAGACACATGTGACATTGATATGCATTGGTTTGTTCTAGCCTGATACGGCGAGCGCGTGTCGACAAAAAAGGTCATGTTAACAAGAGAACAATTGTTGTGAATCAGAGCCAAATTGACCTTTGTTCCAACTTTACTCATAAATAATGCGTGCTTGTGGACAAAAGGTCACAGACGAAAGGTCACAATTCAGTTTCTGAGACTATTTTCTTTGAAAAAGAGAAACTACTTATTTAAAAAAATATATTTTGTATGTATCTTGAACTATTGTATATATAAACCAACTCTGTAAACAAATGTATTAAATGAACAAATAATTGTTTAGTAAAAAAACTATCAAAGTGGATTGGTACCTAAACAGCTTCATGGTGCTAAGAAATATTATATCATTTGCATGATTAAAATTTAATAAATCTTCATTTACCAAGGCTAATGAACAATTTCATAAACTGTAAAAAGAATATATGTAATACAAAGTAATTTTTCAAGATATTTCTCTTACATACTTAAACAATTGTCACTTCCTGTCCTGTGACTTTTTGTCCTGTGACTTTTCAGTGTTCGCTTACTGTTAAGAATAGGACCTCCCTTACCCAGGACCTCCCTTACTAATGGAGAGAAAGCTGTCGGGACTACCAATCCTAATTGTTAGAGAGAATAAAAAGTACATCAGTCATTCTCAATTTTATATGTTTTGCGTAAAACAAAACGGTTTTAAATGTTGAATTTAAGGAATGCTCGGATTTAAAAAAATAAATCTTTTTCGTTTGCTTTTCGTTGAAATCATCCTGAATATTATGTAATATTGTACGCTGAACATTCAACCATCATGGCCAAGCATGTGTTCTTCAAAATGCAATCTGTAGAAGAAAAAACACGGTTTTAAATCATGTACATTGGAAATCAAGAATCGTGTGTCGTGTTCGACCTATAATCCTTTATTAAATAGTCGAAATTGACTATTAATATATAGTTTTGTTTTGCACCTACGTAACTCTATATATGCATGTTTTTGCCACTTTGCTTGGAAAAATTATCATATATCTTAATTCTCTTTCAATAACATTTCCTTATTCAATTTGCTACTCGTCTACCAAAAAAAAAATAGATATTGTTTCATTTTTGCCATTTTGGTTATAATAAGTTCTTGGTAGATGTATGTCCTTTATGATCTCTCAGGTAAATATCAAAAATGAGTCCTGAGTTTTGACGGTTGTGAATTAAGGATTAGTTACTTTATGGAACACTTATTTCCTTGGATGGTAGTACAAACTTGTATTTTATCCTTTAAAGTTAGTATGCCTGTTTAATAATTTACAGTTTTAAGGAGAATTCTTCGTCTTTTGCAAATAGATGAAGAATAAAATGAAAATTTGCTTTCGATTGCATTCAGGCAGAGAGAAATATGTTTTGTTATATTTCAGACGATTTTTAGTACGGATATTAAACTATAATTCTTAATCTCTTCCAATTTACAAATATAATTTGGTATTGTTTTTTCTGCAAATGGTAGATGAAACTTGTATGTTCTAACTTTTTCAGAGGTCTGTGAAATCTTGAAAATATGACGTTCCCCGAAATCACAAGTCGCTATATAGAATGCTTGTAAAATTCAGAAACTTGCAGTACGCTCATATTTAATACTTTTCTGTTAAAAAAGAAAGTGTAAAAATTAGAAGGCGAAAACGGGAAAAGGGGAGGGTTGTTACACGAACACTTTCTTCGCAATTTAATTCTAAACGAATAGTGATTATCTATCTTTTTGTTCAAATATCGAATACACAATCAAATCTCTAACTTATCCACGCTTGCAATAACCTTTTTATTGACAGGTTTCTGCTGGCATTTGATTGGACAACAGTTTAATGTAGGCGTGACAATCTATCACATTTATCCAATCAGCTGTCTTGTTAAACAAACCTGTGTGCGATGACCCACTGTCCACATAGTTTAGTTTAGAGAGTTTAGTAGTTTTTTTTATAATGAATTGATCATCAAAAGGACGTTGTTGCTATTGTTGGCCAGGGACTTTCTATACAAATGAAAAAGTCCATGTGTGTGCTTGTCAGATAGAAATAGACAACGCTTATATTTAAGAATAAAAAAAGTGATGAAAAAGAAATATTACTATGCATTGGATGGATATTAAGACCATGGAAGTACTATATTGAATATAGTACTTCCATGCTACGATTAATCAGTTCAGTTCAGTTCAGTTTCTTGTATATTCCTCCATTAATTGTGGAGCATTACCCATAGGGTATAATTGTAGCAACTATATACACCTTAGAACATAAGGAAACATTTAATTATGTACAGATGACTGAATTTAGGCAATAATAATTACTAAATAATTAATATTATAACTAATTCATAGGATTGTCATCATAAAATTTTAAAAATAATATTCATAATGTGCTGAAGTGTAAGAATAAGTTAAGTAAGAACTGGATATATTTACAAATAAGTATTTAGAATTTAAGTGGTCTTAAATTAAACTTTCTTATAATTGTTAGTTAAAGGTGCTATACGTACATCAGAATTTATAATGAGAAGGTTATTTTATAAGACTTATGTAAAAGGGTTGGTGTTTAGAACGATTCATCATATATACATGTTTTCCTTCACAGTTTAAAGTTACCTTATTTCGGATCTTATCATTATTCTTTAAAGGTAACTGGATATTTTAAAACTTTGCAAAAAAATTTATTTAATTTAGGTCCTAATACGTCATAAAATAGTAAGATGGTAAAGTAGGGAACTATTTTATTTTCAAAAAGTTTACTTATACTGTACTTGTGTTCAAGTTTTTTTATCCTTTTTGTCCTCTGAGTATATGCATGGCTTGGGTGAAAGAAAAGCAATTGATCTATACTCATGCAAATAACCCTTTCAATTATGAATTCTTATAAACTGAACAAGTAATAGCTTTTCTAAAAAGCTAGCCGTCTCATAGCTGATGAAAGTGGAAAATGTTTTCTCTTTGTAGTTCAATTCGTTCAAAATTGTACGTAAATTGTAGTAGATAACAAAAAATT